CTTAGGGTTGGTTTCAATTACCTTTTTGACGTGGCCCGGGGGGTATTTATAGGATCCAATGAGGAACCCACGTGTCATGCCAAGCAAGATAATCAGAGCCTAACGTGTCCATCCAGACGATTATTCCGGGACCGAAAATTTGGGAGGTATTCAGATGCACTAGCGTCCACCATACTTGCTGTGCCATTCATCATAAGGAATCAGGTGCGAGCATGCTTATTGTCATTGTCATGCAGCTATTTGAGCGGGAAGCTTTGGATTTATTCCTCACTTCGGTCATAAAGGAATTACTATAGCAGTCCGAGGATTGGCACCTCGGACTTGTCCTTACACTATTCCCCCCTCGAAGTCATTCACTTGTGAATGATGTTATTGGGGATATTGAGGGGAGTGCATACACAACGAGAATAAGGGTAGGTTATGGAAGTAAAAAGAAGAAATAAAGTCTGTAACTTAAATATAAACATAGCCGCAGCTAATAATGAAATATGTAACAGTGGATTACACTGGGGGTGTCTTAAATAGAATATAACCGGAGCAATCATGGCTGTGGCCGTAGTAAAAATAATGACCGGAGTTAACGTGATCATAGTCATAGTAAAAGGTGATGATCGGAGTCATAGTGGCCAGGGTGGTGATAAAATATGAAGACCGGAGTCATAATGACTGGAGCCGTAATAAAATATGATGACCGGAGTCATAATGGCCGGAGCTGAAGTTGAGTATGAGACATGTAGTCACAGTATCCAGAACCGAAGTAAAATATGTCTCTGTGGTCAGAGCCAAGGTAAAACACTATGCCAGTTAAAAAGTGTAATTGTATAAGTAAGCAGGAGTGCTGAACTAGGTTTAAACATAAAGATGGGAGTCAGAATGGCCAGAGCCATAATAAAATATAATGACCGGAGTCATAATGGCCGGAGCCGAAATAAAATGTGTGATACAGGATCACTGTGGCCGAAGTCGACGTGGAATGTAATGCAGCATTATTGTGGCCAGAGCCGAAGTGAAACACTTTGCAAAATTGAGAAAAGTAAACGAAGGTGTTGAAATGGGCGTGAGTGGGTTCGTCTGAAAAATCTGACAAAGGGGTAGCACGTGGTGTGACAGTTGTCCTTGGAATGACGTGCGTAATAAATGCGGCCGTAAAAAGATAACTGCAACAGTTAAACGGGCAAATTTAAAAACGAACCGTCAAGTTCAAAACGGTACCGTTTGGGGTTGTCCGTCGAATTTCAAACGGTGTCAACAAGAACCGTAAGATTAAACGAATCTCAGCCGTTGAGATCTAATTTTACCCAGAAGCATAAATAGGCATTTTTTCTGCAGAAAGAGGTTTACTTGCATTTCTTTTCCTGCAAAACTTTTGCGAGAAGCTTTACTGTGCGTTTCCTGTGCGTGAACTGCAGTTTCAACTGGGGATCTCTACATCAAGTCTTTCGAAACCGAAACCAAAATCAGGTAATGTATATGAACTTCTGATTTCAAGTTAATCGAAGTGTCTCTCTCCTCTCTCCCTTTCTGTGGTTGATTTAGAATCCTCTAGAGGAAGTTAGGGTTAGAGGTGAGAAGGATTTTGACTGTGCAACAGAGGGGTTTTTTTTTTTTTTTTAAATCCTGACTTATTCCTCCCCCCTACTTCGTGCAGAGTTTGAGAAAATGTCGTCAGAAGGAACACAAAGTATAGTAGGGAGTGAGGTGATGCCTCTGGACTATGGGAGCATGGACATAGAGAGTGGTCCATCTCCATCTAGTTCAGAGAAGACGGTGGAGGGGGTGAGAGGGGATGAGGTGGTGGAAGTTGGGGGGAACGAGGTAGTAGGGGTTGAGGGAGATAACATACCCATCACGGTAGTAGAAGTAGAGGGTAGAGGGGAGAGGGATTATGATGAGAATGCAGAGATAGTGGAAGAGGTGAAGCAGTACCGATCTGAACTAAGGACCAGGGATAGCCTGGGTCACTTAGTAGAAACGTACGATATCTCTTCCCGAATGTTAGTTAGGCCAGCAGGGGTAGAGGAGAGGGCGTGCTCTGCTCCTCGGGATCATTGGATGCCCGTATACTCCCATTATTTGTATGCTGGGCTTAAGTTTCCAATTCCGGAGTTGCTAGTGGGTTTACTGTTAGATTACAACATAGGGTTGACACAGTTGGTCCCCAACACAATGAGGGTAATAATAGGTTTTTTAGTTTATTGCCAAGCTCAGGGGATTAGTGTGCCAACTATAAATATGTTTAAATACTTTTTTGTTTTAAAGGGAGGGAGTAGGAGGGATAAGGGGTGGTATTATTTCACCCCTAGGGTAGCTAAGAAGGAGAGTAGGATTTTATTCATTGCGAGTCCTTCATCCATTAAGGGATGGAAGGAAAAATTCTTTTTTGTGGATGATACGGAGTGAGGGAAGGGGGATGCCGAGGTGAGGGCGTTAGCCTCCTGGAAGGCCAAAAGGGCCAACCAGAATAGGTTTAGCTTAAATGAAGATGAGGAGGAAGAAGTGAGGAAGTTGGTGAGGAAGAGGGGGGATGTGTTGAACATCATGGACCTCACCAGCGCAGCATGCATAGAAGCTGCTGAGCTCTATGGGCCAAGCGCTCTGAGTGAAGGTTTGTTTAACATATACTGTAGCGTTAAATGTAGAACATAGAATTGTGATTAATATTGTGTTTTTTGCTTTGCAGCTGAAATGGACCAGTTTCTGAACACTGCTGGAGGAGCAGCCATCCCTAAGAAGCCAAGGAAGAAGTCAAAGGCTTCAGCCAAACAAGTGGATGAGGGGAGGGCTGGGAAGGAGGTAGTGCCCTTGGCTTCAGCTGAGACGGAGGAGGAGGTGCCACTGCTGAAGAGGAAGGGTTGGGAGGAAAGGAGGGCACTACAGAAGAAGCAGAAGGTGGTGGAGGAGGTGAGGGGGAATGAGGTTCCTGAGTTCGTACCTCAGCCTCCTCATGTTGAGTTGAACCCTAAGCTCAGACAGTTAGAGGAGGGGGCTGAGGTGCGGGCTATTGGTAAGGGAAAGGGCCCTGTTCCCCCGGTGGTGCCTCAGAGCAGCTTGTTCGAGGCGAAGAACATGACGGGGGCTAGGTGGTTCATCAACAGCACCTTCCCCGAAGTGGACAAACGCAACGCGCGGGAGGAGGCTCTGAGGTACTGGGGAGCATCCGTTGTGAAGCACGTTCTTGAGGTATATTAAATTTTTTATGTTGTTTAGTTAATCTGTTTCTTCTTCTCTTCTTTCTCTTTGAACTTCTGCTTGAGGACTTCTGGTTTGATTTGCAGAGCGCGAGCTGGGTGAATGGTCTAGCCCAGGAGTTCATGGAGAGCCTGAGGGAGCGCTCACTCTTGCAGAGGCAGTATGACCAGCTGTAGAAGGAGAAGGAGGAGCTGGAGAAAAAGAATAAAGAACTGCAAGAGTCGCTGGACGAGGTGGTTCCAACTGTGAAGCAGTTGGAGCAGGAGAGGTCTTCCCTAAGCACCAAGCTCGGCTTTGAAGAGAGCAAATGAAAGATCTCTGAAAGCGAGCGTGAGGCTCAGGCGCAAGAACTAAAGCTGACGAAGGAGGCTTTCTTGGAGCTGAAGGGGAATGTGCAGACCTTGGTACACAATGGGATGAAGGAGGACATCAACAACTTCATCAGCTCCAGCTCGTTTGACAACATCGTCAACTTATACCGGCTGCCTACTGCCATCATCGCATTCATGAACTGCAGGAAGAAGGTGAAAGCAGAATATCCCGAAGTGGATATTACGAAGATCACCTTTGGAGAGCAAGAAGAAGGAGTGGAGGAAGATGGGGAGAGCATGTCAGCAGACTTCTGTCCTCAGATCAAACTGAGGTGGGAGGATGATGCAAACGGACGTGCTGTTTTCCCTCCACAGTTCGACTTCGAGTTCGTGGCAGTGGAGGAAGAAGGGGCAGAGGTAGAGGAAGACGAGGTGGAGGCAGGAGTGGAGGGAGCTGAAGTGGATGAGAGCCAACCAGTTCCAGAAGTGGAGATTCATCCAGTTCCCTCCGACGATGAGCAGCCTCCTCTGCCAGACGAGCAGCAGCCAAGACAGCCACCTCTTCCAGCTGAAGAGAAGCCAGTGGAGCCACGTCCTCCAGTAGAGAACTAATTTTATTATTATATATATATTTTTTAATTTGTTGTAAAGACATTTGAACAGTTTGTAATACTTATTTTAGTTGAAATGAAAATTTATTTTTGAAATCATGTGTTTGTTTGTATTTGCTTTACATTTTTGGTATTATTCTTTATTAATAAAAGAACTGAGATTATGTGAAATGTGATTTGGATGAAAGGCAACCATTTCAAAAATGAACTAAGGGGAAGTAAGTCACTTCAGACGAATTGAGAAGAAGTAAATAACTTCCACGTAGATTAGGAATAAGTACATCACTGTGAACGAACTTAAAAGGAAATAAAGTACTTCATATGTGAAGTGATTTTTATTAATCAGAAGTGAGATTTAAGTACTGATTGACTTCGGATACATAGAAGAAGAGATAAAATGAATCTCAGTAATCACTAAATAAAAACTGTCAGACAGGTTTCTTGAAAGAATTTTATTAAGGGTAAAATTTCTTCAAGTTATTGACATTCCAGACTCTAGGAACTCTCTTTCCTTCAGCGTCTTGGAGGACATAGGCACCAGGATGTGGCAGCTCGGCCACGGCATAAGGGCCTTTCCAATTTGGGGCGAGTTTGCCAAAACGAGTTTCAAACCCTGTTAGGCCAGCTTTTTTGAGAACAAGGTCTCCTACTTTGAATGTTCGAGGGCGGACCCGTTTATTGTAGAAGTTGGCTAGTTTCTGCTTGTATACAAGAGTTCGAAGCCGAGCTTCTTCTCTGACTTCAGCAAGCAGATCAAGGTTTTCTCGAAGTAGTTGTCCATTTCGTCCTTCATCGAAATGGGTGACCCAGAAGCTTGGGACTCCTATTTCAACAGGAATAACTGCTTCGGTGCCAAAGGCCAGGTGGTAGGGTGTTTCACCTATTTCAGTTAATTATAACTTCAGAATGCGCTTTATGCATTATGCATATTTGCTTTAAGGTAAAGCGTATCAGAAGAAGTAAAATACTATAGAAATTAATCAAATAAACTCGGTTTAAAGTAGTACTTGTGGCAGTTCGGCTCGTGGTTCTGTATGCCCAGAGGACGTTGTTGAGCTCGTCTGCCCACTTGGCCTTATGCTGCTCTAATCTCGACCTTTATACCCTCCAAAATGCATTTGTTAACAGATTCCACCATGCCATTGGACTCCGGATGGTAAACGGAGGTGAACTGTAACTTGATCCCATAACTGGAACAGAAATCTCGGAATGAAGAGCAATTGAATTGAGTTCCATTATCAGCCACAATTTGATTCGGGATCCCATATCTGCAGATGATCGAGCTAAAAACAAAATCTTCGACCTTCTTGGAGGTAAGACTAGATAAAGGCCGAGCTTCAACCCATTTTGTGAAATAATCCACACCAACAACCAGATGGATTACACCACCAACCCCTTTCACGAATGGACCTAAAAGATCTAGTCCCCACTGTGCAAATGGCCATGGTGCTACCAAGTTCGTGAGTTCTTCTGCAGGTTGGTGAGTCAGATGTGCAAAGAATTGGCACCTCGGACATTTCTGAACAAAGTGAGCGGCATCCTTATACATGTTTGGCCAATAATATCCTTGCCTTAAGACTTTGTGAGCCAGAGTTCTAGCACCGACGTGGCTCCCACAGACACCTTCATGTACCTCCCGAAGTGCATACTCGGCTTCATAAGGATTCAAGCATCGCAGAAGAGGAAGTGAAAAAGATCTCTTATAAAAGACCCCATCAACAAGTGTATACCGAGATGCTTTCTTCCTCAACTTCATTGCCTTCTGCCTGTCCTCAGGTACTATTCCATCTCGCAAAAAGGAGATAATTGAGTCAGTCCAGCTCGGTGTGTCCGAGTTTGTGCTAATCTCCATCATCCGAGGCTTCATGAAGCTTGGTTCATCTAAGATCTCTACAAAAACGGATCTGGGACTTAAAGAGCTATCAGAGGCAAACTTGGAGAGTAAATCTGCCTGTTCATTCTCAGCTCGAGGAATTTTACTCAGACAGAATTTCTGGAATTTGCACTTCAGCTCGGCCACCAAGGTTACATACTTCACCATCACAGGATCAACAACTTCACAGATTGAGTTGATTTGGTTTACCACCAGCTGGGAGTCACTGTATACTTGAATTGCACTGATTTTCAACTCCAATGCTAGCTGTAGACCAAGTAGTAGAGCTTCATATTCAGCCATGTTATTTGTCGCATCGAAGTTGAACTTCAGGCCATGTTCGCTGCGGTATCCCTCTGGACCAATCAAGAGAGTGCCAGCCCCTGAACCCTTGCTACTAGATGCTCCGTCAACATATAAGGTCCAATCGTTGGGCTCTGGATTAGAGGTTGAAGGACACGGAGTGCATTCGACAATAAAATCTGTTAATGCTTGAGCTCGGATGGCCGATCTCTGCTGAAACGTTATCTCAAACTCTTCCAGTTCTACTGCCCACTTAATTAATCTTCCAGAGCACTCTGGTTTCTGCAGAATCTGCCGAAGAGGTTGATCTGTGAGAACGATAATTGGGTGTGACTGGAAATATGACCTCAACTTCCTGGCCGAAGTGACAACCGCTAATGCTGCTTTCTCAGCTATAAGATACCTCAGCTCTGCTCCATGCAGCACGCTGCTGATATAATAAATTGGTTTCTGCTGTCTAGCTTCTTCTCTTACCAGAACTGAACTAATGGCCTCATCTGAAATCCCCAGGTACAAGTAAAGAAGCTCTCCATCTACAGCCTTAGTCAACAGAGG